ATTTTTGTTATATTGTTTCTTTTAAACAATTCTGAAAATATCATTTATATCAAATTGTTTTTACAGTTTTAAAAACACTAGTAAAAAAAATAAACGGAATAGAATAGTAATATGGGAGTGTAAAAAATAATTATAATTAAGAATAAGAAAATTAAGAGTTAATGATAGAAAGTGAGGGTTGTTTGAAGAAATAAAGAAAAGGAAACAGAAGAAAATAAAGATAAATAACTTCCTCAGATACCTGGTCATGTAGGTTTCAATTGTAGCGAAACAGATTACAAACATTCAAAAGAATGTAGTCTTAGTGCCATTATAAGATTAGAGTCCAAATGTCTAATAGCTAAATTAGAAAAAAGGAGTTTGATTTCTAAATTTAAATAAATCTGAACTCTGGTTTCTTAACTGACATGTTCCCTATAACTTCAACTCTTCTAATATGGGGTTTACTAGCCGCTGATACCTTTAAAGCCTGTGATATGTAGAGTGATATATTCATTCATGTCATCTGTTTGCGACCTCTGATTTTTAGAAGGTAAATCCACTCTCTGTAGAGAACTGGAAACTTGTCCCTACAGCTTTTATTAAGTATATCAATAACTTTGGCTGTATGGTCAGCCAACAATTTAATAATATAATATAAACAAATTTTTTGTTGTTGTTGTTCACTACTTTTCGAGATCTCTCTAAATAATATTGCTGCAATGATAAAAATTAGTTACAGTGCTAAAAATTAATTACATATTCTGCGTTTCTAATATGTACTTTATTGGATTTTTTCTGGTCCTAGACCAATATTTACCAAGCATCCGACATTCTAATTAGTTTTTCGAGTTAAGTGTATTTTTCTTTATAATCATTTGCTTTATGGTTCTGGCCAGTTTCCAATTTGGTTTTCTGGATACCCTGTTGTAGGTTCGGTTACTGTGAGTGCTTATGAGTATAAGTTACATCAAAAACACTTAGATCAAAAGCAAGCCCATTGTGAAACTACAGTATTTGAATTTAATATCTAATCTAATTTAATATTATTAACGTATAATAGTTGTTAATATTTCTTTGCTTAGCTTAGATTGCTGTAGTTATGTACATAGGTTTGAACCTAAATTCTCTTAATTATAAAAACACTCATTGTGACATCGTATAATACCAAGTTAAGACATTAATCCTACCCATTGTGGGAGGTAACCTATTTGTATATAGAGAGGCATTCTTTAATTTCATATTTCAAACTTTTCCTGCTTGAATTCATATTTTTTCTCTCATAATTTTATTCAAACCTTCATGGTCCTGGTTCTTTATCCCAATAGTGAATTAAAATAATCTTTTAAAATTGTCACATTTATTAAATTTTAATACTAATAACAATACGACGAGTTTCAGAATATTTTAATTTATTAGCATATCTATTTATCATAGATATTTTAGTGCTTCCGAAAAAAGTATCTCAATTTAATTTCGCAAACACACCAGACCAGACCACCTACTATTTTACTATTTTATTTTTATATTCCAAATTTAAAATTTTTGTAATAAAATGTACGCGTGAATCCGTCGTATATATAATAAAATGAACTATGCCTTTCCACATATTGCGGTTGCCATTGCCATATAGGAGAGGTATTGTCTCTACCATTAACTGGTTGCTTGCTTGCCTGCCTGCCTGCCTGCCTTACTTACTTTATCGCTGAATATGATCACATCGTAGCTTAAACGTGACATCTTTTCCGCTCCAAATCAGCGAGAATTTTATTTGCGTGATTTCTTTTTGCATTTAAACTGTGGAAACGATTTCCATCAATTTTAATCTTCACTAAAAACGCTATCGTGCGTGCAAAATTTTTACCACAAAACGTACCACAAACGACTAAAGACAATAAAAAAATTGAAATGCAAATGAATTAAAACTATTAAATTAACTGACGTCACTCTTTGGCTTTATTGTAACACTTTTATTGTCTATTGTCGCACATTAGCGCATTAAAACTTCATATATTTAAATAAAGTTAATTATTCTTAATAAACATATGCGGCAATATATATACATATATGTTTGTATGTATATACTCAATATGCAATTATTATATTAATATGTATAAATTAAAATTAGGTCATTTTTTTATAGATTGTTTCTATTTATAAACAAAGTTAGAAGCTAGATTCAAGTATATATTTATTTATTTGATACATATCAATAAAATATATTATTAAAAAAAACTTAATGAAACATTAAATAGTAAAACATGATAACTACACCGATTTAAAAAAGTCGCCTTTAGATTAGTCTGTCTTCACTGTGCATTAGGCTGGAGAAAAAGTATTCGGCGTTTTTTGCTCTCTTCAATTTAATGTGCAATAACTTTGAAACGGTCAATTGCATTTTACAATTGCTTGTGAGATTACAGATTTGCGAATTATTAGCGAATATTTTATTAAGTTTAATGTTTTTTTTGTTAAAACTTATTTCGAAGCCGAGAGAGTTCTATGAAATTTTGAAAAATATTTTAGTATGCATTATATTTCTACTACAGCGAATAGAAGAATGTTTATAATAATATTTGACCTATATTAAAGATTATTGATTGCAATCAACTAACAGGAAATGATTTGCTCTATTTGTTATCGAATAATCGATTAAATTATTACAAATAAGGATCAGGAAGACCTATATATTAACAGCCACATAAAAATGTGATCTGCCAATCAATATTCAGTGTACAACTAACTGAATTTAAAGGAACTTTGAGTAGCACATATAGTTTATTTTGTATAAATATGATTTTTTGAAAATTAATAACAATATGTGTGAAAATCCATCCTACATAACAAAAAACTCGCTGTTCAAGCAAATTATGTACGGACTTTAAACAATTAAATTCGATTATTTTCTAAGACCACTGATCATGAGTACTTGACAATACTCGAAATAGCGTTGTATGGTCAGCTAAATTTCAATAGATTAAATAAATTTATGTTCTTATCTTCTTTGCTATTCGAATCCCTCTAATTTTTAAATTGTTTCTATCAGCAACCAAAAATTAAGTTTTGTAAGAGTTTTTGGCAAAAAAAATAATTAATGTGATTGACTAAGTAAGTACCACATGTACCGGTCATAGCATGGTGTGTCTTTTTTCTGTTTCCGAAACTTAAATTACCATTTTGAAAGAGGTGTTTTCAAGTCGATTGTAGGTATAACAGAAATTATCCTATGAAAAATGTATAAAGATTTGTGTCAAGTATTAGCGTCATTATGCTATCCTCGACAGGAAGTAATTCAAAAGCGATAAAGGATTTTTTAATTGTTAATTTTTTTTTATGCGTTTCATTGTATTATTCTGGATATTTCACATATTGCACATAGGTTTGATAATATCAATAACATGGGTATCAATTTACCTCTGATTTGTTCGTTTAAAGGCCAATGTATTTTAAAAATTTTAAAAATGGAAGAAAGAAAGCAATTTTGATTTGAGTTCGGTAAATCGGAAGAATCTAAGATAATATCGGTGCTAGATTCCGCTTCATGACTCTAGGACGGCATGAAGCGAGATCCTGCTTATCCTGTTGTCTTTACTGTAGTACATGTCTACTAGTGCTTGAGTAGGTACACCTGTGATATTTATATCTAGGTTTAACCAGAACTAAGCTTAAGTTTTGGGTTGTGCAGGTCACTTCGGGATATTTTCGACATTGATATTGATTAGACACTTGCATTTATAAATGCGCCCGGCTGGGTTTTATATGACCAACTTTTTTATATGCCCACAATTATAAGCAATGCGGAATCAAAATGTTCTAAGCTAATTGAAAAGGATTCGATTCTGTTTTAACTTCATTTACCTATTTATTTTTGTTTACAGTGACGAGGCTTTCTATGTCAGTAATAAATGTGCGCATTTGGGGAGTTTTATTCTCTCTTTTAAATATAGCCAGAATCTTTCATGATCATAAATCAGAATAAACGAAAAGGTGTTTTAATTATTCGTCACAACAACTATATGGCTGTTAGCATTAGGTCACCCTAGTCGATATCTAGTACAATAAAAATATACGGGGTACTAGCTCCGAACCGAACAGAAGACATTCTTCCTTTCGATTGAAAGCCAGAATGTCGTCCGTTGAGGACCTCCTGATGTCAGAAGGAGAGAGCAGCTCTCCTCCCAGTGACCTCCTCCTTGCCCAGATCAAGGCTGAGCAGTCGATATGTAGTAATAATATAACCTTTTACCTTGAGTAAGTTGTTGCTTCTCTTCTATCCTGTTTATTAATAAATACAGTGATTAAATTCTTTATTCTTGCGTTTCTATACGTATGGGGTTTTGTTATTGCTCATTTTTAAGTTGAGAAATATATAGGACGTATTAGTGGTTTGAGCATAAGTAATAATATGAGTCCACACAGTTATTTTGTTATTTTATCTAAAAACTGTCATAAAATCTAAGACGCTTTATTTTGGATATATACCAAATATAACGAAAAAAAAGTAAAATAGACACAAAGTGTCTACAATTACAAAAGGAAAAAAAATTAAAGAAAAAAATTGTCGCATTGAAGTCCCAATTATTCGCTCTGCTAGAACGTAACTCATAGATACTGTCAATTTTAATTGAGCCCAGCAAGTGTGTTGTTTGTACAATTTTCGACGGTGGCGAGATAAGCCATAAGCCTCGAATCGTTATTATTATGTGTTTTCTTTAAGTTTTGTTTTGTCACATATGTAAACTGTAAAAATATTTATTACTGTACTTAACCGAAAGTACATTGACTGCTTATTTACAAAAATAAAAATACATTCAAAAGAAATTAAACTATATGAAAATGTTTTTCAACCTTAACCCACTAGAAACATATAATTTGATAATTGAATTCATAATCATACAACCTTGAACTAGAGGAAATCAAGCTTAAGATGATTAAAATTTTACATTTATTAAAAAATTAATTTTATTTATTCATTTAAATACTTGAATTCATTTGCTTTGCTTTGTTTCTTCCACCCACAGATTAAAAATTTAACAAATCTTGCTGGCAGCCCCCTGAAAAGTGAAAATCAAACGACAACGACGACTGCGGCGGCGGTAACGGCAGCGGTAAAATTGCGCAAATATAGCGATCGTTGCTTAACAACGCCTGAAGCAAAATCACACACTTATCGCATTTCCATGGCGAATCTGGAAGAGACACAAGAGTCCGAGCTAGATGTCATACTTGGCGAATTAAGTTTACTGGAAGCGCAAATAAATTGTGGTGATGCAGCATTTTTACCAGGTGTCACAGCTGGTAATGGTGTTATGTTGGGATCCTGTGCGCTGACAGGTACTAATGCACCATCAACACGCACACATTCACGCACAAATTCCACAATTTCAGGCGCAACAACAGTTTCCATATCAGGTTCATCAGAAAGTGGTTGTGGTACACATTCTTCAGCTTCGTCCAGCGTATCTGAAAATGGTGTAAGCAGTAGCAGTGTCAGTGGCCGTGAACCTCGCACTGAATCCCCTGATAATGACTCAGCATTTAGTGATACTGTTTCGCTTCTATCAAGTGAATCATCAGCTTCGAGTAGTGTAAGTTCTGCACACCACCATAAGCAGCTGCAATTGCAACAGCAACAACAACAATTGCAGTTGCAGTATTTGCAACAATTGAATAACAGTTCGCTGAATAGTAGCAGTAAAGCTGCGAAAATACAGCTAGCGTTGCACAAACTTGAACATGCTTCTATACGTCGTCTTTTTGTGAAGGCTTTTACATCAGATGGTGCTTCGAAATCCTTACTTGTGGATGAGCGCATGACATGTGGTCATGTTACCCGTTTACTCGCCGATAAGAATCATGTACAGATGCAACCTACTTGGGCGCTTGTCGAAAATTTGGGAGATTTACAAATGGGTATGTATTCAAAAATATATATATTAAGTGCGTTAATAAAATAAATTCTTTTTTAGAGCGTCTCTTCGAGGATCACGAAATGCTGGTGGATAATTTAATGACATGGAATTCGGATGCTGGGAATCGCGTTTTATTTCAGCAACGTTCGGATAAAATATCACTTTTTGCTAAACCAGAAATTTTTCTACCTGGTCCACAAATGGCGCCGGGTAGTTTACATGATGAACATACACGTGCCATGCTATTGGAAGAGTTTTTCGAATCAAATTCTCAGTTACAAGTTGATGGGCCCCTCTATATGAAAGCAGATTCTAAAAAAGGTTGGAAGCGTTATCATTTTGTGCTACGTTCGTCCGGTTTATATTACTTCCCTAAGGAGAAAACGAAAAATACAAGAGATTTGGCTTGTTTAACATTATTTAGTGGCTATAATGTATATCGTGGCCTGGGTTGGAAGAAAAAATGGAAAGCACCAACAGATTACACTTTTGGTTTTAAATCGGCTGTAGATTCTTCACTGGGCAAGTCTTGTCGTACACTGAAAATGCTTTGTGCAGAAGACTTGGAAACTATGGAAAAATGGGTGACTGCGATACGTATCTCGAAATATGGCAAACAGATTTGGGATAATCATAAAGCATTAATGGATGACTTAAGCTTAGGCGATGGTGTTTCAAATAGTAGTTTTGCAGTCTCTATGCGCAGTGAATCCATAAGTAGCATTTCCTCAGCAGTTCCTTCGCAATGCGGTAGTGTTTCCTCAGCTATCTCAAGTATGTCTAATTCAAGTGGACGTATTTCACGAGCTTCATCATCCAGTTCAAGTGGTTGTCTTTCTGATGACAATAATGGTTTTGATTCCGAATTCACAACGGGTACAATCAAGCGCAAACCATCAATGAAACCTAATTTGCCGCTAACTACGATGACTAGACAATTAAAGGAAGTAGGTGAAATTACAATTTGTGAAGCAGATGGTATTGGACAAGATGCAACATCACCTGAACGTAGCGGAACATTAACAAGACGTCATAGTAGGCGTAAATCACAAGAAAGCAATGGTAGTGGCACCTTAAAACGCCGTCAGCCCATTGCAGCAGTAGCAAAACGAGGCTCGGCAGAAAGCATGAATGCTGGTGCTGGTAATTCGTCAGGTTCTTCAAATTCCACTCCAACACCAACACCAAGTATTTGTGCTAAACCATTATTGGAATATGAAACAAGATCTCCTAATGAAACTACAAATTGTATGACATCTTCTACGCTATCATTAGATTCATTACCTCCACCACCACCACCACCTATAGTGGATGAACATGAAATTTATGGTTCTCAGTTATCACTTGCATCGCTACCACCACCGCCACCACCAGAAGAGGTTCATCCCTATGTTAGCATGCCACAACAGCAACAGCCATTACAACAAATACATTTTAATGTACCACGTACAAATGGTGGACCACCTGCAGTACCCGCTAAACCAATGAAACCAGCTGTCAAAGTAGCTCCACCATATAAAGCGCCTCCAGATTACGTTCCTCAAGCAGTAAATATTCCGAATACTCCAACTAATAATACAGGTACACAGAAAAAAGTGTCATTTGCCGATTCACCTGTATTGTTGCGACGTAAAATGTGCTCGCCTGAACCACGTTCGCCATCAACACCTACACAACAAGTCATGCCAACACATTTTTATACACATTCAACTGGTCCGATACCACCACCACGTGCAGATATAACTCGTCTCTCCAATACATCATCTAACAGTAGTATGCAAGATTTCGGTTCACCCAAACGTTTACAAGAGTCTTCATCTAATCCTCCACGTGACTTTTTAAAAGATCTCCAACGTGTCATGCGCAAAAAGTGGCAAGTTGCACAAAAGTGTAAACTTGAACCGGCTACTACGCCTCATGAAGTTTTAGGTTTTCGTGATTTTACAGACGAATTACATAATCTAGCAGCAGCCGGAGCTTCATCACATTATTATCGTGAAACAGCAAATGTAAGCAATTGGGTGCAAGAGCATTATGGTGCTGGTGCCATGATACCGCCAGCACCACTTAATGAGTATGCACTTTATGAAAATTTACATAGCAGCAACGGAGATACACTTACTGAGCCTCAATTTCCTGTTACTGCAGTGGCGCAGGCGTCACTTATATCAGCTGCACAACGTAAAAAGCGTCCACCACCACCGCCACCTAAACGCAGTGATTCCACCCAGCTAACACATCGTGCTTAGGGGTGTGGTATAACTTTAGTTAATGTGATTAGGTGACTATTTAAAAGATCTTCAACGACGAAATGACATCAAGATAAATAGGAATAAATTTAATTCATCGCATATATAAACAAAATATATTTGTATATAATTTTAAACATAAATATAGAGTTACTAATTGTTGATCTGTGTGAATCTTTAAGGTTATTAAGACAATTAGTCTCTGTGCTATAAGTTGCATACATATTAGTAAGGGCCATGTTATAGAGAGAGTCATTGTCATGTCAAATTTAATTTTGTTGTTGTTTTCAATGAAAATTATAAATTTTAAAATAAGAGAAAGAGAATTTCGATTTAAATTTGGTCATGGTGATGAGGTTTTATGTGCCTCGTCATATTGTTCAAAACAAAGTTGCTCAGTAATAAATGTTAAATGTTTGCGCGTATTAGAAAGAAATGAGTATCTTTTAAATTTAGGCACAAACAACGTTTAAAAATAGTACTAAATGTAGAAAATTGACAATTGTGATATGACTCTCTGTATAACTTGCCTTTTGGTCATGACCAAAAAGAGCATAAAATGGCCATAAGTAATGCATTCCTATTTATCCTGTCTTAATAGCATTTCGCAATTTTTATAACTTAAAAAATTTAATAAATTTTTAATTATTGAAATTTTATGTAATTAAAGCAGCTGGCGATTTAAAAAAGCCATATTTAGTTCTCTCGCGCTTAGTAAAATAATCGGAGATATATATTTGTGTATTATAAAATAAAAATATTTTAATTAAGGTATTGACCTCTAAACAAATGAACAAATTTTTGACTAAAAACTTTTAAATTAAAATAATATATATATATGATTAAGTAACATTTTACGTCCAGTATACGAGTGTAGTTTTACAATTTTGTGTAAAAGAAGTTTTTATATAAAAATTATGCCAATATTAAAATTTTTCAGTATTTTAAGAAAAAATATCAAAACCTATTAACACCTATTACTGTAATATCTTAAGTAAAGAAGTAGTGTTTGTCCTTATTTAAAGTTCTATGCGTAATAATGCAATAATGCTATATATAATGTTTCTTTTATATATACTATAATATATATAAGAGTTTAGATGGCTGTATTTTTTCATTTACCGATATTAGTGGTATTTTGACGTAGCTCGGTAACTCTGTAAAGTTATAAAATTTTAAATGTCTATTTATTTTATCTTTATAAATAAGTTATAAGTTATAAAACTTTACAGTCAAACGTGTCGGTAATTCGTGACTGAGTAACGTTATAATTTTATAAAAATAAATTTTCTATATAGTTAAAATTTTTATTACTTTATCATGTTACCAATTATGTCCCAATATACCCCTATTTTTGGGAAGTTATTGATTTCGGTCCTTGCAAAATAAACTGTATATTTTACTGATTTTTGTAAAACACATGGGTATTCGTGATCTCAAGTAACGAACTGGGCATTATGGTAACACTGTCAATGTCAATATACTCGCATTGTATTGTGATTATGTTACTCGGTTAGGTTTAGGAACTCGTTACGCGAGATTCTGAATATTTATATTGAATATTTTTTTTTGAATTTGCAGTATGTTTTGAGTTGAAAAACTCTGTATTTCTGTCCACATTTTTTTTTCTCAATGTATAATTATTATATCAAACTAAAAGAAATAGTGTTTATATAAAAATGCTTTAAATACTTTTGTGAAGTGTATTATACGTTAATGTTGCTTAAGCCAATCTTATTCAATATAATATTTTGTTTGCTGGGCGTATAAATGTTATTATTTTATTATTATTACTAAATGCATATGAAAAATGAAAATTTTAACCTATGACTTTTTACGAATTTCATTACTGATGATTTGCAATATTTTTTTACTCAAGAACATTTTGTATTTTAGCAAAATATTTAAGCTAAATTTTATTATGCTTATACGATCTATTTTATTAAGATATAACTCGAAAAATTTAATTATAAACATGCAAGGCATTAAAATTTATAATATAATATAATATATATATATTTATTTTAGATATGTTAAAACTGAACGCAAAGAAAAATGATAATGAACATCAAAAACTGTAAAAACTTGGAAAATACTTTTTAAAATATCAAACAAATGTTTACAAACAATGTACTTTACTTTTAAATAAATTTAAAAAAACCCCTTTCTAAATCAAACGCCTTAAAATTAAAATAAAAAAAAAAATAAAATAAAAAAATAAACATATATATAAACAAATATTTGCTATATTTAAATTGCTATATGTTATAAATAAAATATACCTACAAACACTTAATGTCTAATTCGAATAATATCGTTAATTATTTGTACTTATAATAAATAAATATAAAATATAATTATTATCTATCTAGGTGTCTGTATATTTTATAAGCTAAAACAAAAAAATACTAAATATAAAAATCGCTAAGTACTGACTCAATAGAAAATGCAATTTTAACTATATTTTTAAAAGTAATTATTTTTTTTAATAGAATATAAAATTGTAATAGTAAACGTTATATCCATATTATGTTTAATTGTGCTTGTAAAGTTAAATACTAATGCTATAGTTCAATTTGCATGATTTCATAAGATATATCGATATATGATATATGATATGATAAGCTTATATAAAAAAAAACTCGAATTTAACTCTCAAAATATATTTTATTTTATGAAATTGTGCATATATAAAGGAAATAGTAAAGTTTGTCTTTATTTTTTTGTTTTTAGTTAACAATTTATTGTAGCAATTGACTTGTTCCTAAATGTATACAATTTCTGTTTAATTTGCTTTTTATGAATTTATTATATAAAATTCAAACAAATATGTATATGTATATATGATAAATGTAAAATTTTTATATTACAAATTAAAAAAAAAATTATGTAAATTTATATTTTAAAAATAATTGATTATTTTTTTAGTCTTATAAAGAAATATAAGCAAATCCAAATTGTTTATTTTTAGTATTTTAAAAAAAAATATTTTTTTTTTCTATGAAGTAAAAAAGCAATTCCATTGGTTGTAAATAATATTCATTGTTACAAATTGCGAATGCATATAATATAAAATATAATGTATGCACCAAAGCTAGGGGTTTTTTTTTTTGTTAGGATTATTGGTCAGGTTATTGCACCACAATTCAGACTAGTTTTATTTAAGACTCAATCATGCACTCATCCCTCCTTTAAACCAAACAAACTTTATCTTATCTGATTCTAACATATATACCCCTATATATAATGAATTCTTATAATACCTATATATTTCAATTACAAGATTTTCCGGGATACAATTACAATATGTTAGGATTATTGGTTTCGTGCTTATTTTTTATAATTAGTACGATCCAATTTGTATTGGACTATTAGAAAAAGATTATCCATAACTGTTTGAATAAATTTAATTAGAAGCGATGAATTCGTACACACAAAAAATTTAATTATAAAGTAATTATTTAAAATTGTAATACCTATATTATCCAACCTTGCTTTGTGGATTTTTCGCAGCTTTAATATTTAATATTTTAAATTGTAATAGGTACCTATATTATCCAACATCTTTCGGAATTTATTTTATATGGAGGTTTCAAAATATAATTACCCAAATTCATCCATTTGTCGAATTGATCAACGCCTATTCATAAAATGTTCTCTATCCGTCTTGATTCGTCTTATGTTGAATAAAGATATAAACCATACATACACATTTAAAAATATGTAACCCGTTTTGACATTTATTTGATTTGGAAGCTTCAGGATATAATGGATCCGTTTGTTGAATGGATCTTCTGGAACTTTCAAAAATTATCCATACCAAATTTCATACGATTGGCTGAATAAGTGAAAGACCAATTTAGTATTACTAAAATGATTGATAACATAAAATCAAAGAGTCTTATTTTGTTGAGCAAGAAAGTATATATATATGTTTTCTGTTGTGATTACATTTATATAAAAATAGCCATATTTTTGAAAGAAATATATTTAATATAAAGTTTTCATTAATTTAGACTTTCTTGTCTAAGATCTTTACTCATCAAAATATTGATGACAGAATTTTTACCATTCATATGGTATTCTCTAAAGCATTGTTTCTTAATCTGCAGGTAACGAATCTTGACAGAAAACGGGTATTACGGATCATAGAAGATGAATTTTATTTATTTTTTACTGTTTGGTGGGTCGTGAAATTAATTAAGTTGAGAATTGCTTTACTAAAGCAAGTATACATAAATTGACCATAGATAACAATTTTCTATAAGTAAAAATTCCCCTGAATTGAATACGCAATAAGTAATATACTAGTATAAAATTACGTATATATTCTGTAGAGTAATTTATTTTATTAGCTTCCGATAAAATGTAATTGGAAAATTAAAATGATTTGAAATATGGAAAACAGAATATATATGTAGTAGAGTATTAAGTTGTTTATGTATTTTTTATATAAAAAAAAAGCATGAATAACCAGATATATATTAACTGCTATTGTATTTGAGAATATAAATTAATAGAAAATCATTTTGCTGATCTGATACATAACTACTGCTATAAATTTTGCTGAAAATAAATAATAGTCAAAAGTAAAAAAAAAAAATTCTACAATGCAATAAATCGTAAATTATGATACAAATCTTTATAAATATTAAATTAATATTTTTATAAATATTTGTATTGTATTAGCTTTTTTTTTGCTAGGCTTGAGGTGGTTTCTTAATTTGTAAATAATATTAAAATACA